TTCGGGTTCCGCGTGATGCCTCCCTCCGCATGGGGAAGGAGCGATCTAATTACATCCATCACAGAAATGCCAAAACGACATCCGGCTTATAAAACCTCAATTTATGCTTTGACATTTCTGGAAAACCAATTTTTAATCCATGTCATCTATCAGGAGTTCTTGATATTTTACTTCACCTTGATGCTTTAGAATACTGTTGCCTTTATTGAGGTGCAGGTGGGGAACTGAACACAGGCTGACAAAATATTAGGAAGAAAAATTGATGTCAGCCCATGAAAGCTTCTGCAGGTTTTGGAGAAACAGAACAGCAAAAGACCTGGCTTTAGCTTCTTCCAAATCCCCCAAATCCAAAAGCACCTTGTTCCCTAGCCGGGGCTTTTTTCCTGTGGCCGTGACAGGATTAGGCCATTTTTAGGCAAGACCAGATCATTTTGCAAAAACAATCCATTTTGGCAAAGGCTGTGATGCGACAGCCTCGCTTGGGTACAGCTTATGTAGGTGTAGCCTTTAATTCCGCTCCTTCCTGAATGAACTCTTCGTTTCAAACACAACCTTCACTTGAAAGGAACAGAGGGGTAGGAGGGCAAAGGTGAATTTTAGACATCACAACACGTTAAGTCATTAAAAATAAAGGGCAACTTAATTTCGGAGTAAGCAGCATAGAAAATGAAACCCAAGGTCTAATTTTCTTCAGGAATTCCTTCACAAATGGCATATATCTAGTGCATGTACAGCAAAAGTGGGAATGCCATGGAACCGAAAACGCTTACGACGTAATTTTTGACCCGGTGCAAAATCCGCCCAATAAAAATACACAGTAATATACTCCTTTCTACTATAAAAATTACTAGAATTGGAAAACAGGGCTGCAAGTCACACGAGCAGAAGGCTTCCTAACCACCACCAGCTCCCTTCCCTGGGAGTTTAGGTCACTTCAATAGGCCATAGGGGAAAAAAAATGATGCAATTATCAGACTAGGACATCTGTAGCTGGGGAAAAAAAAAAAAAAAGCACTGACATTGATTTTGGTAATCGCTTGGGGGTTCTTTTTTGTATAAAGGATGGGATTTTAATACTTCTGCTCGGGATTTTATGAACATGGCAGTACAGAATTGCAGAGCCAGGGGTTGTAAAATGGCATGGAGACACGACGTGGCCGGCAGCCGCCTCTTTACAGCTCTCACCTCGCCTCAACGACGCCTCCAAGGAAGAGCTTTGCCTTCTTTTAACTACGCTTTCCCTCGCAGCCTTGCCGAGAACCTACAGAATTCTTACGAGGGCCGCGGCCAAGGGCTCGCACCCAGCTCTGGGTGGAATAACTTGTTTATCCAGACCGGTGGTGGGAGCAGACGTCCCCTCCTCAGACTGCACTTCAGATAAATAAGATTATTTCGCTACGAGCTACTACAGGCTACAATATACTCACATAAATATATTAATGCCTATACGTGGATATGAATCGGTATATATCGGATACAGATAAGAAACACTTACGACGACGAGTAGATACCAATAACCACTGCAGCTTCTCGCTGAGTAAAGTCCATCGTCCATCCAGGCTGCATGCGAGGAGCCCACGAGGGAGGGTCTGGCCGTTCCCCCCGCAGCGCCTGGCGGGTCGCCCTCTCCACACCAGTGCAAAACGCTTCCCCAACCCTTCCATAGCTCTGCACTTTGCCAGGAAAGCCGGCTCCATGGGCCAGACCCAACACAACATCCCCCCGGCCGCAAGGCAGGGGAAGCCCCCGCAGCCCCTTCCATGCGGGATAAGCTTTTCAGGGACCACCTCTCCTTTTGTGCCAGCAGCAGGGAAAGCCAGGTACGAGGCAGCTGCTGGACTCGGCTTTGTCAAGCTAAAGCTCGGTTTTAAGCCTCAACAGCAACACGGGGGACCCGCGGTTGCAGAAGGGGCGAGGAGTCGCTGCGGCGGCAGAGGCGAGGACACTCAGCAGCTCTGCAGACTGCAATTTAAAAAACCAGATCATCATCCCACCCTTGGTGGTTTGAGAGGACCTTCAACACAGCGCCCGTCCTCTTCTAACATACGAGCAGAGCTGGACCAAGCAGGATCAACAGGTCTCTAACAGACACGTGCATGCAGGAGACGGCTTCTCTCAGCATTAGACTACGTTACCAAAGCATCCCCTTACCGGAGCGGGAGCAGAAATGTGCTCCTAGTATTATTTACACAATATAAAGTGCATTAGGATTTAGTAATTCAATGGACAGACTTTCTGCCGGGACCATACAATTTTGAAACAGAGGTGAGGGCTTGAATAGGAAATTCTCTTATGAGAAAAAGAGGTTCAGACCGGTGCTCTTCACCCTGTCCTCCTAAGGATTGTTTTTGGCCGTTCTTTCTAGTGCAAATAAGCTTGTGTTTTCTCAAGTTTAAGGGACATGGCAGTTTCAGGGCGTCAGGAACGAACATTTAAAACACATCAGGGATTCAGTGTTCCCGAGCATCTCGCTGGGCCCTTCTGGGCACCAGAAGCCCCCGTGGTCACTGCTCTGGGAAGCTGAAGACGCGCTGCTGAAAATACAAAGGAACCCGTTTCCATATCTCGCCATTCAAGTCTTGCATTGCTACACTCCGAGTGTATCCCTACCACCCTCCAACCCGACATCTGCTTCCCACCGCGCAGAAAGCCATTATCCATCCAACCCAACATCCGCCAACACCGCCGTTTTCCACTGCGATGGAAACCCACGGCCGCTGGTCTACCCACGAGCGATCGGCAACGAATGTGAAGATCCCGATCCAGGTTCAGATACTAAGGTGCATCCCGTGCCAGGGGAGTAAATGCATTAGCGGATCCTACGGGATAACAGCGTGCCAGAACCCAGGCCGGCCCGGTAGCCAGCAGTTGTTGGATTCCTGTGTGATATTTATGACAAACTAACGGCATTGGAAGGCCAATTCATTAACGAAAGATAAAGGGGTTTTTGAAAAAATGGGCAGCAATGAGGAAAGCAATTTTGCATCCTTTTTTCCCTTGAAAACGGTGAAGAAAACATCCCTTTCCAATCACGACCGATTTCCTCACCAACACTACAGGAACACAGGGAAGGCATGAGCACTTACAACACACGTGGCCACTCAGGCTAATTCCAACCAAGGAGCTTCTACGATCCCTCGAGGCAAAGGCGGGCAGGGATGGGAGATGCCGAGCTCACAGGGGAGGAATGCCACACAGAAAGGGGAAGGAGAGCGTAAAAAGTTCGTACATTCATAGCTCCGGTTTGTTGGACTAGAAGTGAATTCTTTACCTCAGGCACTGTGACGGGCAGCAGCAGTCAGCGATACGCTAACGTACACATCAACGACTCATTCACTAAATTCTGGTTTCACACCTAACAGAATGTAAAAAGTACTTTTAACTTTTAACGTGGGGTTTTATGGGGTTTTTTTAATTGACCTGTTAAAACCATTTGGGACCGAAGCAGTAAGAGCGAGGATGAACCAGTACCCCGCAAAACTCCCGCTGATTCATCGCGGTCCACTGGCTGTTCGAGTGATGGAGCAAAAACTTCTCTTGCAGGTTTGAAAAGGGACCTGAAAGAGCAACCTATGGAGAAAGGGATGGGAGTTTTTGACACTAAGCCAAAGGCTTGGTTGCTGTAACTGCTATATGTGGTCTTAAAGGGGGAATCACCTAAAACAGTGAAATTAACTTTCTTACTTCTTGTCACAACTGTAACATTTTCCTAAAGGTTCTTTGGTGACTTTGGTGCAAGCTGTTATATTTTTTTTTTTCTTTTTTTTCCTTTTTTTTAAACTTAAAACAGATTGACTAGTTTTAGTACCCAAACTAAAATCCAGATTATCCTCTTGGTTCCCAACCCTGTCTCCCCAACCTTTCTCATTATGACATTAACAGGCAACAGCATTCGGATTGAGAGTGGCCATGCAGTGTGCAGGTGGCTCCAGACTCAGAGCGGTGAACGGTCTGGTTGGAGATAAAGATGTTTCTCAAAAGGTTGAAACATAAAACAGGTCATGGTTGCATGGAAAAAGAGCTGGTCCACATGCACACTAGGCCACTCTGCAATGAAACAATTTGAGTGATTACAAATATCTGATCAGACATGGTAATGCCTGCTTAAAACAATCTTAAAGGTGTGCAACACGCTACTAGAAGTACCTGGAGCTCAATCAAACTCCCGCTGGTTCTGGGGGAAGGAGCTGGTCGCCCAAAGGCTGGACAAGCCCCTTACATTATAAATATTCATGTTTTAAGAAACACAGAATCTTTCATCAACCTCCCAACCAGGTAATTGCACACATTTGCCCTGCAGGCAGAGAGTTAATATCATGAGATTTAAAATTTACATCACAAAGACTCCAGGATGACATCGAAACCTTGGGGCAGGCGAGATCGGGACTGGAGCCGCTCAAGGACAGCTCCAGCTTGGAGCAGGGGGGGAAGACGGTGATGGCAGGGCATGGATGTTGTCTCCCCAACACCACCCACAATCAACACAACAGAAAATCCACCAGAGCTTCCAAAACGCACCACGGGTGAGCGTGGAAGAGATGCCCTTCTACAAGAATCCAGCGGTGCACCCAACACCCAAAGGTCTTCCTCATGGCAGGAGGAGGAAAACACCCAAATGCTTTCCTCGCACAGGTAACATCCCGAACCGCATTAATCTGGGAGAGAAGCCCATCATCTGGGAGCCTCGGTCGCAGCATTCCTTCCACCTCCCAACACCCGCTCCACAGTCGCCTGCTGGAACGCCCAATACAAAAATACCTTCTGAAATTTTTGACAAAATACATTCAAAATAAAAAAAAAAAAGAAAAAGAAAAGATCACCAGCCTCTAACAGGCAGAACACGGAGATGAGGAGTGGGTTATTATTCACTGCCATTAATTCAGAAGGCTGAGCACTCCGCTGTCCTGGGATACTCAGGTTATCTGGTCAGCACAAAACTACGGAATGAATGACAGATCTTCCGCCCTTCACCGGCACGTGACCGAGGTCAGACCAGTTATGGAGATTTTACCCATAAACAGACTATTGTTTCCAACTCAATAACCAGGAGATGCCAACTTTAAAACCTCTCTCCCTCCTCACACACAGACCAGCGATTCGCGTGGAGCTGATTTTTGCCATAAACGCTCTACGGCAATGCTGCTCGGCCTTTGGACTGAGCACGGGCAGAAGCCAGTCCTGAAAAACTGGTGATAAGCAGAAACTGATACATTTCATCATAAGGTTCAGGGTGGGGGTACTTTTGTATCGTGTTTAAGTGCAACACAAGCCTTTTCTAGACTATTTAAAGGTCAGGGTGCCGGATTTTGTTTGTGCTGATACTCGTACTTCCACAGTCTCCAACACTCGAAGCAGCTGACTCATATGGACTCGGGAGGTTGGTCCTTTCCTAAGACATACGGAGATGTTTTGGGCATAGTTTAACATGACAACCAGACTCCTATAACATCATGTACTGGAGCTAGCAAGAACTACCAGAAAAGGACTTTACAAAAAACTGGGGCAACTTGGAATTACTATAGGTCTGTCCCTCTCACCAATTTCTGCTTGCTTTGTTTGGTTAATTGTCCAATGCACTCTATTCCAGACCCTCTTGCTCTTCACCACTGTCCCCTCTGGCATCCATTCTTTTCTCTTTATGGCTGTTGTAAATTCTCCTCATCTCTTCTTCGTACTTGATAAAATTTTCCCCGAACCGTGTCCACGCTTTGTACGGAACTGTGATGGTGTTACGGTAGGGCGGCCTCACCTCACTTACCTTCAGGAAGATGCCGTACCTGTTGGATCCCACGTCGAAGTAGAAGCGCTTGTTGTCCACTCGGAAGGAGGTGCCCTCGGGGAGCTCCGGGGGCTCGTCGCCTCCCCCCCGGCGATCCTCTATGTCCCCTTCACCGTATTCTTCAATCAGCTGGACCAAAGCATCCCTGAACTCGATCATCCCTTGCGCCGGGAGGACGATCGTCTGCTCCTGTCCCAAGCTGTGGCCAAAGTAACCCATCATGCCAGGTCCCCTGCTCATGGTCTGCCTAATCCGCAAGAAGCGCCCGCGCTGGTTCTCCTTCAGGTCCATGTAGTACTTCCTGTTGTCCCTCTCGATGTACTCCGTTTTGAGGACGCTGTGAGGCGGCTCTTCGGAGCCCACGGACACGGGGGGCGAAGGCGGCGGGTGCTGCGGCCGCCTCCGGGGATGCTGCTCCTTGTCATTGCTGTGCTCGTGCCGGTGGCCGTGGCCGCCCTTCAGGCCCAGGTGGGCGTAGTGCTCGATGAAGTCCCCCAGGCAGTCCTTCAGCTCGGCAGCCACGGACAAGGAGAGGGTCAGCTTGCTCTTCCTGATGTTGTCCTGTCTGCCCCTTCCTATCCAGACCTCGGCGATCTTCAGGAAGCGGCCGCGGGAGCTCTGTTTCACATCCAGATAAAACCGCTTCTTCTGGATGTCCACCCTCTTGGAGGCCAGCTCCTGGATCTCCATGCAGCTCCCCTGGGAGGAGGCCGGGTAGTGGTACTGCTGTTGAGACTGGGAATAAATGTTCCTGTGCAGGCCAGAGCCTCCCAGGTTCCTTCCTCCTCCTCCTCCTCTTCCTCTTTCCATCTTTACCAATCAGCTGGAAATAATACACAACAGAGACACAGATGACAACATCAGCACCAGGGGCCTGCTCAGCTCCTCGGCAGCAGCTCCGCTCGGCGCTGCCCTCCCTACAAAGGCTCCTGCATCCCTCTCCGCTGCCACTGGCACGCAGCATCGCAGCCCGAGGATCCCGGGCGCTCTTCTTTCCCTGCCGTGCTCCGGCTCTCGGACAAGGGAGCCCTGATTCCAGCGGCACTCCCCGGCAGCACTCCCTGCCCGGGAACTCCTCTGTCCTGCCCCTGCGGTACCGCAGACCCTCCAGCTGCCCCACGGGGGTGGGCTATGGTGCCCTGTTTCGGGGGGCACTCGCCCCTCTCCCAGGGCTGCAGCTCCCCTCTGCAGGGTTTGTCCCCGTATCGCTGTGCTCCCGCTCCATCACTCCCTCTGATCCCGTCCCAGGGCACGGGGGGGAGCACCGGGGCTCCCCCAGCACTGCCCTCCTGCCCCCCACTACCCACGGAGCCCCCCCACGGCTGCATCTCCTGCCCCAGTGCCCCCCAAGGCTTCAGTTCCTTCCTCCCCCCAGGACTGCCCCACTGCCTCCCTGGCCCCTCACTGTCCCAGGGCTGCCCCTCGGTGCCTTCGCTCCCCTCCAGTGTCCCCAGTATTGCCCCCAGTGCTGCTCTCCTGCCCTCCCCACTGCCCCAGTACTGCCCCCCTGGCCCCCAAGTGCCCCAGGATTGCCCCCCCCGTGCCTCCCATCACCACACCTGCTGCCCCAGTGCTCCCACAACTTCACCCCTCGCCCCCCAGTGCCCCAAAACTGCCCCCCAGCGCTCCCAGTGCTGCCCCCCGGAGCCCCCCGTGCCGCAGTATCCTTCCCCAGAACCCCCCAGCGTTCCCAGAACTGTCCCCCGGTGCTCTTAGTACCGACCCCAGTGCCCCAAAAGTGCCCCCCAGCGCTCCCAGTGCTGCCCCCCAGCGCTCCCAGTGCCCCGCTATGGCCCCCCGAGCGCCCCCCAGCACAGAATCTCCCGCCCCATCACTGCCCCCGCTACCCCCGCGGCCCCTCCGCGCCCCCCAGCGCCGCGTTCCCCACGCCCGGTCACTCACCCCGCAGCGCCCATCGCCGCCGCTGCCCTTCAGCCGCCGCCGCCGCCACCGCCACCGCCCGCAGCCGGCGGCCCCGCCGCCCCCCCCCCGCCGCGCAGAGCCACGGGCTGGCGCTCCCCCGCCGCCCGCTCCGCCACTCCCCGGCCCGCCCCGGCCCGACCCGGCCCCGCCCGGCCGAGATCGGCGGCGGCGGCAGCGCGGGGGGCGCCGGGGGGTGCGCGGCCCTCAGGGCCGCGGGACTACAACACCCACAATGCCCCGCGGCCGCCGCAGCACTGCGCGTGAGCGTCACCTCGGGTAACCCGAGCGGCAGCGGGGGGATGGGGGGGGAGCTCATTGGTGACGTATCCACGGTGCGACGCGGCGTGACGCGCAATGTGCGCGCAGCGCGGGATCCGTGAGGGAGGCCGGGCGGTTCCCGGTTCCGGGCGCGGAGAGGTCGCGGCGGCGGCGGAACGAGCCCGCTCAGAGCTCGCCGAGCAGCGCTCGGGGCTGCTGCCGGCCTGCTGCCGGCCTGCTGCGGGCTCCGCCGGCACCGCGGCTCTGCGGGCTGCGGAGGAAACGCGCCGAGGCCTGCTGTGCCGGGGACACTGGGGGACAAGAGGTGAAGCGGTGCGGGCTCTGGCGGCGCTGCTGGGAGCGCTGGGAACGGTGGGGAGGACAGGAGGTACTGGGAAGTGACCGCCCCGAGGGTGTCCCGGCAGCCTGCCCAGCGCTGAGACTGCGCTTTCCTGTTAGGCGTGTTACCCATTGTGTGAGGGCTTGGCTGCGGCTCCATGTCCCCTGCCGGTTTTCCCGAGGACTCCCGAGCTGGATGCTGAGCGATCCCGAGTTCCGGATGTTGGCTTAACTCTGGGCAGGTGGGTGATGCCGTGGTGGGAGGTGGTGCGGGATCGTGTGCAGGCACCAAAGGTGCTCTGGAACTTCCAGCTGCTTTTGGGGGCTGTGGGTGTCCTTTACTTCCAGCTTCTGCTCTGCTCTCTGCTGTTCCTGGCAATCCCAGTCCGAAGAACTGAGTGGCTGTAAAGGAGAGCTGTTACCATGTCTCTGTTTTAGCGTTAAAATCATTTTTGGAGTTGAAATGGAGGGGGCAGTTGGTTGTGCTGCTGCACACCAGGGGAGAAGTCTGCTTAGCCTTGGAAATAAATTAGAAAATGAGAAACTTTCCATAACGCTGTTCAGGCCTGATGGTAGCCCTGGCTCTTCTCCACGTGAGCTGCTGACTGCTCTAATTTCTTGTTTCTTTTTTTTTATTAACGTGGAAGCAACAGAGATGTGTCAAAAATGGATGTGGTAGCTGCTGGCCTGCGGGATAAGTATCCCCAGTGGATGCTTACAGAGAGCCAGGAGGAAACTTCTTTGGGCCACAGAAAGGTAGGTCATGGCTCTGGGGCGCTTTGCAGGCTGCAGAATAATCCAGCTCTGGAGAATGTGCTTTTAGTTAGGCTTCTGCCTCTCAAAAGGGGATTTTGGTGTTCCTGCTGCTCACCCAGGAGTGTGACTTCTACATCAGCGAGCATGGGGGATTTCTCATCCATTTAATTTGAGACTTCCAGTTGTGGCCTGGCAGGGGAGCTGGTTCTGGCAAGGCCCTCCTCATGTCTTTCACGTGTTAAGTATTCCAGGATGGTTTGCAGCTCAGATGCATCAGCTGAATTAATTGTTAATTATTAATTGTTAATATTAATAATTGTTTGTCGGGTTTTGATGTCCCATAAGTGTTACTGTGTCCTTGTTTTTTGGGTTTTGTCTGTGTGTATGAGCAGTTCAGTACAAAAATGCCTGCTGTCCCAAATGAGAAGGGACCATCCCTGTAACACCTAAAACACCTTCAATAGTTAGAAAATTAATTCATGAGGAGGGGAGGAAAGCAGAGGATTCTGTTCATCAGCTTTTATTCCACAAAGTGGGAGTAAATGATTAGTTTATTGGTAAATGGTTAGTATCTTGGATATTAGAAATCATCAGGTAAAACAACAATGACTTTTAATTTTTTGTTCACTGAGTGCTCAGAGTTCAGTAGAGAAGTTGGGGCAGGAACCCAAATGTTTTGATAAGGGAGGGAGGTGTGTGAGCCTGGCTGGGATGAATGTTCCTGGTGAGGACAGGTGTGGTGGGTAACCAGATCTCTGCCAAATTTTGTTTGCCAGAAGCCTGGTGCCCAGAGGAGTGTTCTGGAGGATGGGCTGCCATTCCTGGAGTTCTGTGGCTCTGTTGTTTATAGCTACCAAGCCAGTGACTGTTCTCTTCTCTCAGAAGATATCAGGTAACAGCTCATATTCCATTTTTTTTTCTTTCCTTTGAGTGCTCCTTTCTTTTTGGAAGGGACTCAGCTCTTGGGAATAATTCCCCATTTGGCCTTGTTGATGGGAGATGCCACTGTTGAACCTTTCAGTCCCTCAAAGCAGGAGTTGTGAAGGCTCCAATGCACATGGTTTGCCTTTCACAGTATGGATAACTCCATGAGCTTCAGTGACTTCCTGGAGAAGGGTTAATTCTTGACTTGAGACCAGATGTTTACGGAAAAGGCAGTAAATCCCTGGTGCAAATATGTTGTTATTTTTTCCCTTTTTTGTGTAGCACAGCCCATGTTGCTGGGGGAAAAAGTTTTGTACAAAACTTGAAGTGCTGTGGAATAAATCAAAGGCTGTCTTTCAAGGGATCATGGGGTAAATCAGGAAGAACCTTTCAAAGGAATAAAAACTATTCCATCAGCTTTTGTCTCTGGCTGTCCTTGAGGCCTGTGTGGCCAAGTTTTAGTAGTGGGGGGGCCATACTCAGCACCTTGTTGTGGTGCTGATGGGGAAGAGGTAGGAATTTTGGCAGTCCAGCTGAGGCAGGAAGGAAGGGAATGGTGGGGGAAAGGTGTTTTAGGCTTGCTTTATTTCCCATTGTCCTGCTCTGATTTGATGAGTAGGAAACCAGTTCATTTTGATGCTTTTGCTTTGCCCGTGCCAGTGACGGCTGAGCATCCTCTCCCTGTCCTCCCCTGCACCCACAACCTGCAGTTGCTTACAAATAATGTGCTGGTATTTGCAAGCTCTGCAGATCTTGTGAAGCATTTCAGGTGTCTGTGTGGATCAGCCCCGAGTGGTCTGTGTTTGTGGCGTGGTTTCCGTGCCTCACACGCGTGAAATGGAGTTACAGCCAGTGCACCTCTCACCTTCCTGTAAGGTGACTCGAGGCTGGTGTTCTGATAGAGCAGCAGATCAGTGTGAGGGGTTTTCTGTTCCTTTCCAGGCAGAGTTTATCAGATGGGGCTGCTGTTGGATTTGACATTGAATGGCCGCCATCATACATGAAAGGGAAGATGGCCAAAACAGCTGTGATCCAGATATGTGTCACCGAGGACAAGTGTTACTTGTTTCACATCTCCTCCATGGCAGGTAATGTACTCCCTCTCTTACTTAGGGCATGAACTGCTCCCTATTTCATGTGGTTAAGTTTGAATTTAAGCCTTGAGCAATGGCTGATATATCCTGCTACATGGGACAGTAAAAATCCACCCTTTTTCTCCCCTTTCCCACCTCTAATCAAGGCATTTATTCTTGGAGTGATGCCTGTATATTAAGACAATCTTAGCTTGTCACATGTGCTTGGGTTCTGAACAGGGGAGAAGAGTCTTACTTGGGGATTATTTTTCTCTCTGGGAGAGAATATTTTATTCCAGTTTTAAAAATTTAATTCTCTGCTCCTATAATGAGTTTTCTCTTTAGTGCCAAAATAAACAGTGAACCTAAATAGAGCAGGCTGGGGTTTTTATTTTGTGTTTTCCTTTGTTTTTTGTTTTATTTTGTTTTTTCATTTGGCTTCAAGAAAAAATCCTCAAAAATGATGGCTCTTGTGCCCTTTATTCCCAGTATCTGCATTACATGAGATCAGCTTTGGGAAAGAGTACTGGGTACCTG